TCAGAACTCAACTCATCAGAAAGCAATCAGAATCCAACACATCAGAAGAGCCTGATCAGAGCCCGACGAACACTTAGAAGATTTCAAGCAACATCCAACAGCTCTGAATCCAACGGGTAAAAACATCCAACGGCTAGAAGACTGTGCATAAAAGGAAAGCATTTAATGCACATTAAATGAGCCTGATACGCTGAAGGATTGATTGCAAATGATTGACCAAAGAATCCGGGAAGATATATTATAAAAATAGAAACCTTCCAAAACGGCGGTCAAGTCAACTGTACGCGCATTTAATGCAGTTGTCTCCTCCTCCAACGGGCAGACAACCTCAGTATATAAGCTACACACCGAAGAACAGAAAAACAACTTTGCCACAACTTTTTTCATCATCATTCAAGCTCTCTTGAGATTCAAATTCTACAACCTTCAACAAGATAAGCTTACGTTGGGAAGATTCAAACTCCAAATCTCTCATCCCCAACAAACGAGCAAAGTTCATCCTGTTCTTCAACTCTTCAAGAACTTCATCAAACATCATTTGTGACGAAGCAAGTTGGAGGAAAAACTCTGTTTTTCAAAGGATCTTCTGAAAAGAAGGGCGTCCAAGTAACTGCAGTAGTGAAGTGGTGATACTTCCGGGAAGCTGAGTGAAAGGACCAGCCATCAGGACATGGAATTGCATCCTGGGTGGCATCTAGACTTGAAGAAGACGAGGAGTGCTTCTTAAGTGCTAGGAATTAGCTTTGTAACCGATCTACTTCAAAGCTAGTGGAACAGTGGACTAGAGGAACGCGTTGTTCCTTGAACCACTATAAAAATATCCGGTGTCATTTACTTTACTGCAATTTATATTTCTGCACTTAGGATATTAACTGTTTAACTCTAAGACTTGGAATCTGTGTTCAGCAGATCTTGTTTTTAGAGTTATCAGAAAGGCATTTGCCTTAGTGTTTCTGAGGCTACCCAGACAGATCAGAATCCGCTGCCAAGGCCAGTTCTGATATCAGAACCAGCCTTTCTCTGTCACCAGAATCAGACCTTCTCTGATAAGTCACTTTGGACTTAGAGAAAATTTGAAAAACCAATTAGTCTATTCACCCCCCCCCCTCTAGACTGATTACCATCTTAAACGGGACCAACACGAACCCTGGTGATCTAAGTGAGGCGATGCCTGTGAAGCAGCAGACATGGGCCTGAGAAACGCATGAGAGAATTGTGTGAATTGATAAAGCCAACGAAGTGAAACAAAGATCGATTATGTACGGCCTTGATGAAGCTAACGAAGCCGCAGAAATCGGATGGCGTTAAGTTCGTGAGGTTTAGTTAACGGCAGATGCGGGTAAAGAGGATGGACAAATAGCCACAGTACTATGCTTTCAGCGTGATGTACAACTTTGTATAGCTATAGCATTACCACCAACAAAATTTCATGTCCAAAAGGGTATTAACCTTCATTGCCTTTTATAAGTTTTTAGATTACGCAGTACTTCATTATGGCTATGTTTGCGTTTGCTTCTACTTGTTAGAAGTGATTTATTTAAGGGATTTTTGAAAAAGTGATTTATAGTAAAAGTAGAAAGTTTTTGTAAATAGAAATGATTTTGATAAAAAGATAAAAGTTGGTGTGTTTGGTAAAAAATGTTTTTGATGTAATATTTTATTAATGTACCAAAATGTCCTTGTATAAATTAAATGAAAAATTCAAGATGAGTAGCAAAGATAATGCTTCGTTTTAATGCTTCCGGATAGGCATGGACCCGGTTCGGGCCGCCCGGTCCGGGACCGGCCCGGCCCGCCACTGTGCGGGCCCGGAACCGGCCCGGTTCTCGGGTCCGGGTCGGGCCTAGGCCCGGTGGGGGGGGTCCGGGCTCGGGCCTTGTATTTGGCGAACCAGCCCGGCCGGGTCGGGCCCGGGTCCGGGCCGAATTGATTTTTTTTTTTAATTTTTTTTTCATTTTTTGGGGTTAGCCGGGTTGGGCTTGATGGTTAGGAGGGGTTTGGGGGTTTGGGGTGGGGTGGGGTGAGTGGGGGGTTAGGAAAGCAAAAAAAATAAAAAATTATGACCGAACCGGAGGCCCGGCCCGGACCCGGACCGGACCCGGTGGCTACCCGGGCCGGTCCCGGGCCTTCCTTCCCAAAAAAAAAGCCCGGCCGGGCCCGGCCCAGAACCGGAACCGGCCCGGCCCGGCCCGGGTCCATGCCTACTTCCGGACAAAAGGATACCGGCAGAGACCAGAAAGGCAATCTCTCCAAGCAGCCTTCGTTTTTTCTTCTTGACATTTGCGTACAGTTTCGGCAAGTTTGTGAAGCTCTGCGGGTAGTGAAGAATTTCTGAAGCCGAACATAAAGCAATCTCTAGATCTTCAATTTTGAGTGTGAAGCGGTGACTTCCTACTTACATACCGGCGGCGCAAATCGGAGAACACGTGTATGATTAGAATTTCATGGTGTGGCCAAAAGCTTCATTCATGGATGGGGAGTTACTAATGCGTCGATGATATATTTGAGGAGGGGAAGGGCATTAAAGGGACACAAATCATACTACCTCCCTCCCATTTATATTAGGACGGAAGAAGGTGACACGGTTATTAAGAAAAGTGGGTTTGTGTGGTTGATATTAATTGATAAAGTAAGAATAAAGTAAGAATGATTTAGAGTCACAAAAATTTTGCCAAATATTGTATAAGACAATTTAAGTGAGACTTCCCGAAAAGGTAAAATGGGACAATATAAATGGAACGGAGGGAGTATATTGTACCCCCAAGTTCAAGTTAATTACTAAATTACCAAGAAGCCAAAAAAAAGCAAGTCGAGGCTGCTTCCCGTTTTTTGTCTAAAAGTGATTATTTTTAAGTGGAAGCTGTGTTTTGCAAACACATGTTTTAGCTTTTTAAGCATAAAAGCACAAAAGTGGAATTTGTTGCAAACACAACCTATATACTAGTGTGCTACGTGAATTTTTAATAGCCTATTTCAACATATCAAGTCGAATCTTGTGTTACAAAATAGCCTTTAAATATGTCTAAATGTTGGGCCCTGTCCACAATCCCAACCCATCAAGGTTCGAATTGTAACCGTTTTTCATGTTCAATTTTGGGACCGGCACCGGTCCCATAATATTTGGGCAACGAAACCGGCTGGTCCGACCCTGGTTCAACTTTTAAGGATGCATAAATAAATTCATTTAAAAGCTAAAAAAAGTAGGGAGAGAGTCAATAAGGTTTAAAAATATACTATCTCCGTCCCGGTGGACTTTGCCAAGGACAAAGTAGATGAGAAATAAAAATAGTAAAAATTGTGTGGTTGAAATTTGTGCAGAGGAGAGAGAAATGTGCAGAACTACAAATTAGTTGCTTTACTAAGAAAGTGACAAAGTTTTTTGAGACAACAAAAAAGGGAAAGTTGGCAAAGTTTGGATGAAGTACTAAAAAAGATATTAATAAAAAATTGGAACTGGCCCGGAATGATTGCCGTTGGTCTGAATTCCACAAATTAGCATGTCTACTCATATACTACGAGCCCGTTTGGAGACCTTTTTTTTCGGCTTATCAGGCTTATCAGCCAGCTTTTTCACCAAACACGTAACTTTTATTTTTGTGTGCTGAATTGTGTAATAAGCAGAAAAAGTAAGGTTGAAGTTACTTTTCTGGCTGTATTGGCTGAAGTTACTGTAGAGGACTATTTTAGCTATTTTTACATGTAATTTTTTCTATAATTTATTAATAAAATATATTTTTAAAATATTTTTTTCTTGAATCAGCAGAATCAGCCAAAACAGCCACTTCAGCCAGAATTTCATGAATTTCAACAGAATCATCCAAAACAGCCGATTTTTGTGCTACCAAACGGGCTCTACGTATCAATTTAGCAAATTTAATCAATTGAGTCACAACTCTAGCATATTAAAGATAACCCAAACCAACATCTCTTTTGTTATGAAAGAGAATCTTGGTAGTTGTGAATATAACCCAAACCAAATAAAGATTACATCCTAAACGAAGAATTTAACTCTCCAAAGTCTTTTTTGAATCACAGAAGTTAAAAATTGGTAACAGAAGTTAGAAGATTAAGGAACTACTAATAACATTCAAACAAAAAAGTAGGTCAAAGAATAAGCAAACATGATCCTGCCTTCAAGCTTTAAAAGTAAAACTTAGCCATCTTCTTCAATAACAAGATGAATGTTATAACTCAGACTCATGATCCTGCCTTCAAACTTGAAATGAACTTAATCAGGAGGCAAGCACGGCTGCACCGGAACCATGATTTAGCCTCCGTCGCTGCACCTGTTTCCAGTCGGACCAAGAGCTCTGCAATCTGCCCGGCAAAATTGGACAGCAAATCAGAATCATCCTCCGTTCTGGCTGAGAAAACTCCCTCTACCTACTCCACTAAACTATTCTCCCACCCCCTTTAGTTCAAAAATGTAAATTTACCGGCGGTTTACGAACCAAAAGCCAAATGAACTATCCTTTCAAAATATGCAGATAAGTGTTCCCAATTCACCATCTTATGAAACCATTTAGTATTATGTTGATATATATTCAAATCTCTAACGTTTCAGGTGCACGATTGATTGATTATACTCCGTACACAACATTCCTGTTTAATGTTTTATGCTCTGAATTGGCAGCTGATATATTTTCGAGGGTTCTAGCTAGCCAGGGGCATGAAATTCCACTGAAAATTAAATATTTCCTGCAGGACCCGAGGATCTTAGTTCCCAGTTTCCTCCATGGAGGTAGCACATTTAAGAGCAGGCCACTGCTTTACCTCAGCATAAACTTGAGGGCTATTTTGCTTTTCACGGAAGAGTAAAATTTGGTCATAAGTTTCACTCTTAGCTTGTACGTTAGACAATAGATGCTTATCACGTTAAGATACATCATTCTATTATTGAACAAACGTTTAAATAAAAAACATACTCCACTAGCTGGCCTAAAGCACTGGCCTTTATGTATAAATAGCTCATTCTCTGTGTTATTAGTCATTAAATTCAAGAAAAGTTAGCTTATTAGTTCTTTACATCCATGAAGAGTAGTGGTACTGTAATACACATGGTTTATCACATTTGTTCTGTTTTTGTAGTTTGTTTGGTGTTGGGCGGCTTCTGTTCAACGGGCGGTAGCGTCCAGCATCAGATTAGTGATGACGGTGTGGATATTTACATTGTTCATGTAAGTCCACTCACCAACACCAATGGGTTGGAATTGTCACAAGATCATTATGCTGCTACCTATCATTACCATCAATCATTTGTGTCAGGTCTCATCAGCAGTGCCACTGCTGTTGGAGTAGAGTCATCGTCGTCTCCAATAATACTACACTCATATCGGCATGTGATTTCGGGATTCGCAGCAAAGCTGACGCCCGAGATGGTGAGTGAAATGAGCCGCAAGGAAGGGTTTATATCGGCCAGTCCCCAGAAAGTATACCATTTGCAGACAACCCATTCTCCTGACTTCTTGGGGCTCCTCCGGCAAGACGTTGATGGGTTTTGGCAAAAGTCAAGCGGTTATGGGAAGGGTGTGATAGTTGGGCTTTTGGACACTGGGATCACCCCAAACCACCCGTCGTTTTCCGATGAAGGCATCTCACCTCCCCCTCCAAAGTGGAAGGGGACTTGTGATTCTGACGTAAAGGCATCTTGCAACAACAAACTCATAGGTGCAAGAAGTTTCATCGACGGATCTTCGTCATTAGATGAAGAAGGGCATGGCACACACACCTCCGGAACGGTTGCTGGAAACTTTGTGAAGGATGCGTCCGTGTTTGGAAACGCTAATGGCACGGCTTCTGGAATGGCGCCACTGGCTCACGTGGCTATGTACACGGTCTGTGACATGTTTGGATGTGTCTCTTCTGCCATATTGGCTGGAATGGATGCAGCCATAGAGGATGGCGTTGACGTCCTCTCTGTTTCCCTAGGAGGTGCCTCTCTAGCTTTTTTTGACGATGTCATCGCCATGGGTACCTTTGCTGCTATGAGGAAAGGCATTTTTGTAAGTTGTGCAGCCGGCAATTCTGGCCCCGATCAACAAACATTGTCGAATGAGGCTCCCTGGCTTCTTACAGTCGGGGCTAGCACAATCGATAGACGCATCATGGCAACACTCATTCTTGGGAACAAGGTCGAACTGGAGGGCGAATCAGTTAACCAGGCTGAGGTCTTACCTCTCATGCCTTCACTGCCTCTGGTATACCCAAAAAATGATGAAACCTTCTGTGAGTCATTGGATGGAACAGATGTGAAAGGAAAAGTGGTGGTGTGTGAGAGAGGAGGGGGGGTGAGCCGAGTTGGTAAGGGGGGAGTAGTGAAGGCTGCCGGTGGGGCCGCCATGGTTTTAGTGAATGATAAATCCAATGGTGACTCAATATTAGCTGATCCTCATGTGCTTCCAGCTACCGAGTTGAGTTACAATGATGGGTTGAAGGTCAAAGCCTATGTAAATTCCACCTCATCACCTACTGCAACTATTGCATTTAAAGGCACTGTTATAGGGGAGAAAAATGCACCAGCAGTTGCATCTTTCTCTTCCCGAGGGCCTAACCAGGCTAGCCCAGGAATTCTCAAGCCAGACATTATTGGACCTGGGGTCAACATTCTTGCTGCATGGCCCGATTCAGTGGATAATGATATTATTAAGATGACAATGAGTAATTCAAGCCCACCAAAGTTTAACATGATTTCTGGCACCTCAATGGCATGTCCTCACCTTAGTGGCCTTGCAGCCTTGCTGAAGAGCGCACACCCCACTTGGTCTCCTGCTGCCATCAAATCTGCTATCATGACTACGGCATATCAGAACAACCTCAACGGCGACAAGATCAATGACGAAACATCAAGTCCTGCTGATTTCTTCGCCACAGGTGCAGGTCATGTGAACCCGGGAAGAGCAAATGATCCCGGGTTGGTCTATGACATGCAACCTGATGATTATATCCCTTACCTATGTGGTCTCAATTACACGGATCAACATGTTCAAATGATTGTGCAGCAGAAAGTTAACTGTTCCAATGTTACCAGCATACGTGAGGCCCAATTGAATTACCCATCCTTCGCTATCCAACTCGGAACAAAAACTCAGTTAACATTTTCGAGGACGGTTACCAACGTTGGAGATGCAAATTCCACGTATGTCGCTAATATCACTACCACCCCGGGCGTTGATGTTGAGGTTACGCCAAAAAGTCTGATCTTCCGTGAGCTGAACCAGAAACTGTCTTATAATATTACCTTCGCCCGAACTTCTAATAAAGGTTTTAGTAATGGTGATAGTGAGACGGTTCAAGGGGCAATATCTTGGGTCTCTAGTAAGAACATTGTGAGAAGTCCAATTGTTATTGCACCATTGGGATTAAGGAGTATCATCATCGATGAAAAAGTGGGGGTAGATGCAGAATGATTGATTACGCTTGACAAACTGCCTTTGCTACAAAAGTCTAGGCAAAAGGGTGTTTGGTTATTCTTCTGAAAATTTCAGTCTGAAACCATTGCACAAGGTTACGTATGTTGTAGTTGGAGATTTGCATTTGTTACCATGTATTTCACACGAGTCATGACAATAAAAACTAAAACTTAAGGGTGTTTGGCAAAGGACCTATTAGTCATCTGTTTTTTGTTTTTTGTTTTTTTGTTTGTTTTTGTTTTTAGATGGTTTCTACATGGTCAAACAACTATTTCTTCTGTTATAAATAATATTTTGAATTAATTTTTTTTATGTCAAGCAACAAGAAATGTAAAACTACATTGACACCTTTATTTCCATTGCAACTTCACCGCCAAAGTCTGGGAGGAAAAAATGGCTGAACATCAAACAAAACATGTCTACACTCTCTAGCTCGATGAAATCGTTTGGGCAAAGCTGTCCAGATTGCTCTATGCAGCTCACTCTACATCATTTATCCGGTGAGTATGATCATGCATTAGACTTTAGACTTGTACCAAGGTAAACTCTGATTTATGTGTTTCAGGTTATTGAGTTTAGTTCGCCCAATATGAGGGAATGCCACCTTTTTGTTTCTCTCCGGGAATGACATAAGCTATGGCAATTGAAGAGGCAATGAGATGGGCATTTGAGTCCGGTTGGAGGCATGTCATAGTGGAGTCTGATGCAAAGCAGATTGTGCAGGGCATTACTAGGGAGGATGGTCTTCAGTATAATGATATTATTTTCAGAGAGATTAGACATATGATGGCAAAGTTTGCTAATATACGTGTCCATTATGTGCACCGATCAGCGAATCAGGTTGCCCACATTCTTGATAGGGAAGCCTGCTTAGGGTATGATGGTATTTGGTGGGGTTGTCTGCCCAATTGTATTATCCGTGCTTTAACCCTTGATGAGTATTAATGAAGTTAGGGAAAATTGCACATTTCGTCCCCCAATTATCCACCAAAATCCCAGACTCGTGTTTCAGGTTTTTTAAATGTCACCCCCGATTTGTCAGAATAATTATAAATGTCACCCTTGCCGTTATAAATATTACAGATGACGTCTGTCTTTCCAATTTTTCAGGGCTACACACGCCATTTCCCATCCTTTTACGTTTAAAGCCCTGAATCGAATAAAAAAACTTCATCCTTTGCTTGAAACTCTTCAGTGTTCTCCCTTCGCCCTGAATCAAAAGCTCTCTTCATTCGTATGTTCTTCAGCCGTTTGGCGTTTTGAAGAGCTCTCTAGCTTCCTTCAATTCGTCTGGTCTTCGTCTTCAGGTGCGTACATATATTTCATTCTTCCCTTTGTCGTTGTTCTGTGTCGTCATTTAACCCATTGAGCTTTCGACTGATCAACTTTCTTTCCTCTGTCACGACTTCGACCTTCAAAGGAGAATCTTGACATCAATATACCTTCACTATTTGAACGTCATGTTTAATGGAAACTTGGTGGAAAAACATTCAGAGCAAAGGATTAAGAAAAGCATTTGAATTTGGAATGATGAGCGTGATAAAGGGTCGGGGATAACTCGAATATAGGGCTTTAAACGAAAAGGATGCGAAGTTACAAGTTTAACCCTGAAAATTTGGAAAGCTGGACGCTGTCTGTAATATTTATAACGGCAGGGATGACATTTATAATTATTCTGACAAATCGGAGTGTCATTTAAAAATCCTGAAACACGGGTTGAGATTTCAATATGGTGGATAATTGGGGGACGAAATGTGCGATTTTCTCATGAAGTTATTTGATTTAAAAAAAAAAAATTTAGAATAGAAATTGTGCAACACTTCTAAATAAACGTTACATAAAATAAAAAACGTACAAATATGCAACACATACTGCAAAGTATTGCATAACATTAGAGGGAATGCTCTCTAAATGTTTGTATGTTTCTCAGGGGTATACCCTGCACTTGTAAATCAATTTTTGGGCTTTAATACATTGACATCTTTAATCTTGAAAAACTATTCCGATTTTGTGACCGATTCCATAAGTATTCAAAAACAATATATGAAGTAGTAAATATTGAATAACACCGGGATTAAAAAAATAATGACAAGAAATAAAAATGTCTCAAATACCATCTATACAATCCATCTAGTTAACTCAAACCCCGTAATTTTCCAACTCTGTCTATATATAGTGATGTAGATTGTAGAGGGAGAAGTAGGGATGGACCGGGCCGGGCCCGGGACATGATTGGGCGAGAGCACTAGTCCGGGACTGGGGTTTTGGGTTGTAGGCCCGGTACCGGCCTGGGTTTGTACCGGGATCGGGTCGGTCACAATTTTTTTATTAAAAAAATGGCTTTCCAAATTTATTCCTACACCCAGCCCCTCACCCCTCAAACCACCCAACCCCACCCACCTAGCAGCCCATCAATGGGGGGGGGGGGGGATTGGGCCCAGAACGGTCCACCATTTCAGCATCGCGGAGCCCGCCCATCTTCCTCCCGGTTCAGGCCCATCTTCCTCCCGGGCGGGTCGGGCTTGCACAATGCCAGCCTAGGTCCCGGGTCGGGCCGACCCAGTCCACCCCTAGGGAGGGAGGGGTGATCAGAAAAGTGTCGTTTCGTAGTCAAAGTAAAACGTACAATTGTATTTGGACCCCCTAAGCTGAGCGAAGCTTGTTGCTCTCTCCAGGAAAAATGCATAAGAGCTATCTTTAATTTTCTAGTTACTATTTAAAATATTTTTTAGCTAAGAAGAGGTTAACTCCCAATTAAAGTTAAGGCTCTTTTATACTTTTACAGGTACCATAGCTACTACTCTTGACGAAGAGGAACACCACGAAGGTTTTACGCAGGTAAAAAGAATAAGCAAAAATACAGTCACAATCCCAAAAGAGGATACGATTGATATACAACAATTCTACCAAGTGAGATGGACCTCACACCCCATGATCACAAGAAGTCAATGCCTAAAACCCCAAAATGAAATGGATTACTTCCTTTACCCGTTAGAGGAGAGATTTGACTCTCGCTGCAGCTCTCAAGCATTATAAAACCTCTCACCTGGATGCCAAAATATTCCAGCCCTATCTACAGAAGGCCATAAATTGCACAACAAGTACAAAAAATATAATCTCAGCTTCAATTGGAATTCCCTCAAAGAATTCAACTGTTAATGTAATTTATTTTCCTAATTTTTATTCTCTTGTATCTTTCTTCTTTTATTAATAAAATTGGGAGGTGTTCCCCGACACCCCCACCTCGTGTGGTTTGCTCCGGGATACAAAAAAAGTTAAGGCTCTTTTGAATCTTTAAAACAATTTTCAGAAGTTAAAAAAAACAATTTTCAGAAGTCAGAAGAATCTTCAAACAATTTCCATCATTTGCAATGGAGCCAATGATTCACTTTTTTTGGTTTGAGAATATGATGGAAGAAAGCAAAACGGCTCACTAAATATGATAGTCCACTGCCTGCGCTTCTCGGTTACGAAGTAGTAGTTAGTCCATGCAATTTTGGACGCGTTTTTCACTTTGGTAATTCGAAAACAGTCTCTTTGTGCTTTAATACAAGGGCAAGACTGCGTACATCCAACCCCCTTATCCTACTGTAGGTGGGAGCCTTTGCAGGTAATGATAATGATGATGAGAATAATCTTCAAACCCTTAAAGTCAATCTTCAAGCACTCAATTTTGGCATACCATTACTAAATATGATACCTTTTTTATCATTACTAATTATACATGTTAAAATTGATCATATAGCCAACAATACAAGCTAAGTATACGATTATTCGATTAATTATTAGCATGCACATTTCTGTGTATATAATTCCAGTTCTTTACGACATTGTATGGACCATCGTGAACTTAAATCTCACATGAATTGCTTATCTCGTGGGATGGATGCTTGTGTTGTGCTCTCTTACCAACTCCAAAATTATCATCTCAAAGAAAGTCTTGATTTGCATATTATACAAAATACTTTTTCATTTAGCTTTTTTACTACAAATATAAACAAGTTCATAAATGATGGAGTATATTGTCATGAACCTCAGAACCCCAATAAAACGGTACAAGAAAGAAGCCCAAGTAACCAAAGCCTTGCGTTGGGGTCTCACGGTAAGCCCAACTCTACGGTGGCAAGCCTATTCAATCCGGGGCTGAGCTTCGACAACAAGGCTGAGCTGGATTATTACCAGGGGCGGATGGTGTAGTGTTCAAGGGTATGCACTTGAACACCCAAAAATTTTAATTTTTTCTAATAAAAACTATGTCGTAGTGATGCGTTTTAAATAATGACGCACAATAAGGTATAATATCTAACCGAGTATGTATTGAACAAAGTTCTTGAGTGGTGGAGTTGGTTGGCTTGTGCTTATACTTACAACAAGATAGTTGTGGGATCGATTCCAAGGACTTGCGAATTTTTGTTGTTGTGAATGTTTGTTCTTTCCCATTCTATTTTTCCCACACCGGTAAATGAATAGCTATTTTGAGCAAGTTCCAATGGGCAAATTTTATATATTAAATTTAGTTTGTTTCTTTCGGTTTTGAATAAGCCGAAAGTTCGGGTAAACCAAACTGAAAAAATTGGGTACCAAAAATCGGTACCCAATCTAGCTGTAGTTTTTTTATTGGTAAAGATACAATTATTTGAATTGTAGCATTAAGTATGATTATCTTGATACTTTTAATTTTACTTTAGTTTTGAACACCCTAAATGTAAAGTCTAGATCCGCCACTGATTATTACCTCTCTACGATTCCCTAATGTCGTTAATTACCACTTTAACAGACAAAGCCGATGTGGACATTCCATGGCATGCACATATCCACAACTTACATAACAATCTCTACCACTGACGTCACATGCCCAGTTCTCGAAGAGTTGACATCATCAGTGATATTACATGGCAGTTTCCCAGGGCTAACGTGTTTCCACATAAGCATGACATCAACAGTCTTCTTCCCCAAGTATTTAAAGGACACTTGTCATTCCCTCACTAGCTAGCACTTTGGGCCTATAACTCAAACCTTATACTTTTGCCTATAATAAACAGCCACCTTCCGAGACCAAAATTTGCATTGTACCGTTATTCTCCAACTTCTCTCTAATATTTACTACCGCCCCAAGTTCCGTAATCCATCAATAATATTTAGATATTTAACTGTTGATCTTATATACCAAGAGAACGTTTGGTAAGATCA